AACCCACCTCTGCTTTGTTTGTTTGTTTGCACGAGGTGTTGTGGATCTCTGCTATAGGCAGTTCAGTAAGACACCATGGGCAATAGTATTAAGATAGTAAGCAGTCCGATGATAAGACAAAGAGGAGCAGACTCTCAGGTTACCCACCAAGTCAACCAATACTGTTTTTGTCTCATGCCTGAGTAGCTAGAGTCCAGAGTGGAAGGGATCTAGATAATGGGCTTCACCAATTACTACACTGATTCACCATTACTATTTCCAGCACCTTCCTCAAAAAGGGAAGGTTAAATACTTGGCAAAAGTTAGCTTGATCAAGATAGGTTTTTTTCAAGGAACAGCATATCACCATTTCTTCCAAAGCTGAAGTACTATGTCTCCTCTCAAAGAAACATTCACCACCTCTTGACTCTAGCTACTCATACTCATCCAAAGAAGCCACGAAGGGCATAGATCTAGCCACATGTGATGGAAATTTTATTATAGAAGATTCTATGCTGTTACTCGGTCTTCACAAGGTTGAATGACTGTGTCACAAGATGTTATCCCAGATCACATTAGACTCCATTTAAAAGGTGTCTGAGGGATATGAGTCACCTTCTTTGCAAAGAATCTAGCAAACATGTTACAGAGACCAGCAGAAACATTGTCCTTGACTATTCCTTTCTGAAATGAACAAGTCATCCCAGCCACTGAGCATAATTATCCTTTTAACTTTCCTGTAGGGTGCATAGTCACTATTTTTCCAAAACCACAACTTTCCCCTTCTCAAACATTCTTGCTGAATCTTAGTTTTGTAAACAAAATTGAGGTAACTCTCAGATGAAGTGTACTTGTATTTTTAATACAAGATAACCCTTCCCCCTCCCATGATTAAATAATGTTATGGGGTCTTCCAATTGGTCAAATTCTTAATATATCCCACTTGCTTCTATGGATGGTAAATTTCTGTTTCAAGGTCAAACATCAGTAAACAAAGCAAAAATAAACAGCCTAGATTTGTTGATTGATCTGGATATCAATCAATCAAAAACTGATCTACTGCTAATTAACTTGGATCAATTTCCTTCCTGTTCTATTTATGCGGACTACTCTATCAGAGGGAAGAACTGCAAGGAAGGCACTACTCTACAGGGGAATGATCTAGAAAACACAATTGTTTAGATCAATGTTAGGCATATCCCATAGTAGAATCGGGAGGATTGTCATATACAAGCATTGGTCTCAACAAAAACAAAATCCAATCAAACATCAATTCTAGGATATTGAGTTCCTCAGGTGTATGTTTTCATGAGAAACTGTTGGGGTTTCTCTCAAAGAATTGAAATGCCATTTTCCTGCTATATCAGGCTCTTGATCTCTCTTCAGAAACAATAATCCTTAAAAGCCAGAGCTTGCAAAACAGTTTTAAAT